TTTCTCATGTCTTCTCTTCCTCTTGCCATTGTCTCAGAACCTGTTCTGTTAAGCCCCTCTCTTCTTTGACTAAAGAGCTATTGTGTATAGATGGAAAATAAAATCAAAGGTTATATCTTGCTACAGCTAAATTACCTTTAAGTGTTTTTAGATGTCACTGTGCTAAAGCTCAAATGAATTTAAATGAGATCAAAGAACACCCTTAAGCATATTAGCGTCAAGTTCCTACCAGTTTAAAGACCTTCATGTCATTCTAACATGGTTAAACACTAACTACCTGAGAACCTTTTTGTGCAGTTTCAGATCATATAAACAGTTCATTCCTAAAAAGTCAAATGTACTCACCAGGAGCACATTAGAAGAAGTCTTCTGATCCTGTTGCTTGCTATGGGTCTTTGAGTCAGGCTCTTGCCAGCTGGTGTGCCTCTTGGACTTTACATTTAACGTTGTAGACATACTGTACATAGGTACAGTGTCCTGAACATACCACCACTTGCTAAATATAATATATCAAAGGTCTTTAAAACACATTTCCTCAATCAGAAATCCTACAAGTTCACCTAAAACTCCCAAACTGGAAGTCTTGTCTCTCTCTGCTACTGTTTTTTGTATTTTTACATGGAGCCCATCGTTAACTGGCTGTCATATATTAGCTACCGTCAGAGCCGGTTCTAGACATTTTGGTGCCCTAGGTGAGGTTAGGATTTGGTGCCCCCCCCTCCAAGCAATACACAATAGAATATATAAATAATAAATGAAACATCTCTACAAAAGACCAATACACTATATATACATAAAGAAGGTTTCAAATGTATTCATTATTGTATGAACATGTTTTAATTGGGGGTGAACGTCACATCCTCTATGGGGTTCCGGGGGTATGCCCCCCCGGAAAGATTTGCTTTAACATTTTAAAGTAAAATGCTTCAATCTGGTGAACTTTGAGCAGAATTACTAGAGACTAGATCTAAGGGGTACAACTTTAAACACCCATATGAAAAAGATCGGTTTACATTTTAATAATCAAATAAGTATGTGAACATAACCAATAACCTTCCATAGCCAATAACAAATAAATGTAACGTATTTTAGTTGTTCATTTATACCTTATTTTACCTAGTTAACATTTTTTTAATATCTCCAGTTTTAAAGGACATGTTTGGTTTACTGTCCTATAGTATACAATGGAATGATTTCACACCTGTTTTTATTAATCCTAATAATTATAAAGGTGTGCCTTGGAAATATTTGTTTACATAAATTGTGACCAAACCGTTTGAGACCCACTGAGGTAACTTAGACTAGAGTGAACTATCTAAACACTCAGTCCTTTAGCTCACTGAGCTGTAGTTATCAGCCTCAATCCAACAACAATCCGCGGCACCGATGCGCGCCCTCTCTCTCTCTCTCTTGCTCACTCGGAGGCTCGCCCGCACTTTGGCTGTGAGCTGCGGGTGCCTGATAAGTCAACATCCCCCACGTTCATCACTTACAGCGCCCATCGTACAGGGCAAATGAAAAGTGTAACCGGGGTGAAAAGGGTGTTACCTTGACTTAATTATAAATGTTGTTACATCAAGGCTGAAAATTAGGATGAGACAAACAGTCAAAAATGTTGTTCTCCCTCCCAGAACTACCAGCGCAGCGCCCCCCCCCAGATCTGGCGCCCTAGGCGACCGCCTATGTCGCCTATGCCAAAAACTGGCCCTGGCTACCGTTAGCAGTTGTTTCAGCGGACCCCTCCCAGATCAGCAAAGGTCATAAAAGTTCACGTTTACCTAGCCCAATTTTCTGACAAAACAACCACAAAGGGAACAGACTTAACCTATTTGCAGTGTTTGAGTTTCAGGTGAACCTTCGGTAGACATTGCCGTGGGTGTGTGGTCATGCCTGGATGCTTTGTTATATTATTTTTCCAGAAGAGTGACTTTGTGTCCTTAGGATACAGATTGTATGTAAATCACAGTCTCTTTGCTCCCTTCGATCTAACCTCTCCCCTTCACAACAAAACAGTAACTGATATTTGAAACTGACAAACAGCATCACTTAAAAAGACACTGAAGAAAAAATTAACATTGCCTTAGAAAATCACATTAAAAAAATAAAACTAATATAACATTTTTGTATTGCCTCTGTTTCATTTTCTGTGGAACTTTTCATCAGTGCCAATACTTATTTTTCACAAAACCAAGTGTTGCTAATGCTCCTTTTTTCATTTTCTGGTTTTATTTGTATTGCCAATATACAGTATACAATAGTCCACTTTTTTATTCACAATGTTGGGCTCCCCAGTGCAGCCACAGCTATAGTTTTAGTAAAGGTTCAGCTCCAAACCCAATTTCCCCAGCTCCATTCTCCCATCTTCAGTCAAGCGATCGTCCAATCACAAGCCAGTTTATCTCCTCCATCTACTCACTCATTGCTCTCGGTCCTTATCTCACTTTGTCTTGTTATGGGACTCAGAGTTCACCTCTAGTTGCCGTTTGTTATCATTTGTATGAATTACCATTGATGCGCTTGAGTGGTGAGACGACATTGGCACGGGGAAGGAGGATTCGGGGCCCTAAGTGAAGCAAATGCCCTCATCCATCATCCCAATATAGAGCTCTCAGTGGAGCGCAACCATTGTCTGCAGCAGGCAAGTGTCCAGGAATAGCAGATGGAGGGAAAGAGAGAGATGGAGGGTAGGGCTGAGCTTATTTGTTTTCTGAGCTTTGTTTATCTGCATCCGTGTTTTTGAAATTGATTAGATCTCTACCACCTGTGGTGTTCAGTTGTTTGAAGACAGTAATTGCAGATAATGTGTTTCTGGGCAGATACAGTGCGTAGACCGTAGAGACCCAGTACATCTGTGCTTTGGGGAACGAAAATCCTAATTTTGCAGCACAAACTGGAGGTTTTTGCTAAAGTTAATCTATTTTTATTTGATTCTCAATTATAACATGCAGTTTTGGGTAACATTAATTTTTAAGTGTTACATTACAGTGCTACTGCAATTATACACCAACTTGTTACCCACTGAAAGGTCGGTAGAGTACAAAGACTATACCACTCTGTAGGCACAATGACAGATTAAATGTTTTTTTTGCTGCTAGAACGACCAGTTAGTTTTAGCTTTCCTCCCTTTTAAGGGCACAGCAAGTGGAAGAGCAAACTGTTTTTTGACCGCCGTAAAATGGTTGATTTTGAAAGGCCAAATCCCAACAATTATTGATAGAATGCTCATAAGTCAAAAGCAAGCTGTGATATTTGACATTGATAGCATTTATCTTAAATCAATAAACTTGAAAATATTGGACTGAGGACTGAGACATTACAAAGATGAGGAGCGTTGTGGAAGAGGAAGATGTAGCATTAAATCCAATGTTATCTTTAGAAACAAGTATTCAAACTAATTAGAACAGTTCATAAATGCATAGGGTTTTATTGATGAGCTTACGAATGAATAGAGACACAACAGTTGATAGTGGTAACATCTCTTCCGATCACATAAACCTCTTTTAGCTTCTTCCCTTGGACAGCCATCTGAAAGCTAGCCATTGCTGTTTTGCAGCTGTAGCAGCGACTTTGAAATCCGATGTCCAAATGCAAGTAATGCAGTTTATACGTAGATGCTTATTCACAAGGCACATCATCATCTCATCATCTTTATTTAAAGAGACTCTTGGTCCATTATTACAAAAACATACAACACTCAAATATAAATAAAAAAAGGCAGTTATACCAATGTTTCCACAGAGGTGACTGGTATCGTACAGCACTGAAACACGGATTTGACAGCAGCATAATGACAGAGTTATGAGAAACATTCAATCGACAGATGAATTTGTACTTTCGATTTCTCAAAAGAGCATGGAACGTGTTGACTCGTGCGTTACAGAACATTTCACTTGCACTGCACCACCTTGGTTTTCTAAGCAGTATACGCAAACAGTCATTATATGCAACCTGGAGCTTCCGGAGGCTCGCCTTCTTATACTTGACCCACAAGGGGGCAGTATAGAGAGGAGTGCAATAAGCTCTAAAGAGGTTCACCTTAACCTCATCTGAACACCAAGAGAGTTTTCTAGCCAACATGTTGGCTTGCATATATAAGACACGCCGCTGTCTATACATGTCATCATCATCAGCCATTTCATCTGTGATGATGTGTCCCAGATACTTAGTGTTACAGCAAACAGACAGCACCTGTCCCTGACAGGTAGAATGTTGGAAAACAAAGGTTCTTATCCCCTTTTGCTCTGCAGATCATTACAGCGCTCTTCTTAGCATTGTATTTAACGTCAAATTTGACTCCGTAATCAGAACAAACATTTAGCAACTGTTGAAAACCAGCACTGCTAGGAGAAACAATAGCCAGATCATCGGCATACATAAGATGGTTTACAATCACATTACCAATCACACACCCTGTTTTACAGACACTTAAATCATCTGATAGATCATTCATATAGATATTAAAAAGGCATGGTGAGAGGAGCCCCCCCTGGCGGACTCCATTACCAACACCAAATGGCGCAGAGACTGCATTCCCCCATTTGATCCGCATGCTCTGGTTGGCATACCAATAAGCCAGGATCCTAATTATACTGTTAGGCACACCCCTTTGTCTCAATTTTAAAAACAGTTTATGGTGGTTAACTCGGTCAAAAGCCTTAGAGGCATCAATGAAACCAATCAGAACAGTGGAATTCTGTCTTCTATATGTTTCTACCATTTCTTTCAAAGCATAGATGCATAGCTCAGTACCATGCTTAGCCTTGAAGCCAAACTGGTTATCTGAGGTACATAAATAGGAACATAGTCTATCTAACAAAATTCTTTGTTTTTACTTTGCTTTCCACTCGGATTCCCTTTTAACTAAATAAAGTATTACATATGCACTTTGTGTTACTTTCCTCGTTGCAACAAGATAAATACGGGTATCCAAACCCATTACTTTTATCCACATGTTTTTTTTTTTTTAACCTTTCCTGCCTCTTTTTTTGTCTTTTACTTAGGTGGCATACCTGAGACTGTGATGTCAAAGGGCAAATGACAGGAGGTCAAGAATCTACTCCTCACTCTTGGAGACTTCAAAAGGACTTTGAAGGCAGCTGAGAGAGGAACTTCTGTGAACATGTACTGTAATGTCTGCATATGTCAAAGTGACATTCTGCACAGCTTTCCAGAAAGTATGAGAAAACGATTACTACAGAAGTACATGCAGCGAGAGTAGCTTGTGTAGTCAAGTCAAGCTGTGGTTTCTGGCTGCTTCCATCAACATGGTAGTGTGTCATCAACTGCAAACGGATTCATGTTGAAACAGGCTTCTTAATGTTCACCCATATCCAGTAATTGCTAAACCAGCAGGGAATTACATCATCAAAATAGTTTTCCATAGAATATATAATTATATCTCTGTGTAGTTTATAATGTTTATTCCGGATGTATCATAGTGGCTGTATGTGTTTGTCCATTCATAAGCTTTTTTCTTTTTTTTCTTACCATTCTCAACTAAACAGATTAAACTGTATTTTCTTTAAAATAATCGACTGTTGTTTTCTTTTTTTCATCTGCCGTAGAGCACTCTTGGTTGATATGTGGAACATTGTTCTTAAGTTGGCTCTTGATGAAAGCTTTTTTTAGAGGTACTTCAGCCCCAGGGCACAGCAGTCCATCCTCCACTTGAGTGTAATTACAGCTTTTGTAGCTAGGTGATGTTTGTCTAGTTGTGGGTTTATTTGTGTGTGCCAACAATTGATGGTATTTATGTAACATGCGTGGTAGCAACAATCATTGCGAAAATGTATGGTTACATTCTACATTTCACCATGATACGGCTGGTCAAGTAGCTCTCGCAGTGTCAAAGTACTTCTTACACATTAGTGGTTTGAATTGGTTGGCCATCTCGGTCTTGTTTGGTTTTGAACTAAAATATCTCAACAACTATTCAATGTACTGCCACATTTAACACAGACATTCATGGTTCCCAGAAGATGAATCATATTGACTTTTGTGATCCCCTGATATATCCAATAGCGCCACCACAACGTTGATATTTTTTGTTCTGAGTGAAATGCCTCCAAAATTACCAAATGGACTTCATTGAATTTGCAACACATGGTCATGGTCCTCAGAGGTTGAACTATATTTTTTAGCTCCGGGGTTCCCAAACTCTTCCAGCTCGGAAAACAAAAAATATATTTGTGTATCCTTTGGGTCCAAACATACAAAAAGGGATCAGCTGAACTGACCAGTGTAGCAAAAGCATACACATATATTTTCTTTTAATAAGAAGACATTAATTCACATATTAAATGTTATGGATTTTTACTCTGCCACTTGGCTACTCAATTGAAGCAGGTACACAACCGATTTTGGATTATAACCCTAACTTTTGGAGGCAGGTACTTTTTGTCATTTGCTAGGTCAAAGCTCTTTAAATTATCTGGGGACTTACAGTGCATCCGGGAGGTATTCATAACCCTTCACTTTTTACAGCCATATTTCAAAATGGATTAAATTCATTTTTTTTTAATAAACATTCGAGACACAATACCCCATAATGACCAAGTGGAAAAGGTTTTAAAATATTTGTTGTAAATTAATTTTTTTTAAAAGTATTCACACCCTTTACTCAATACTTTGTTGAAGCACATTTGGCAGCAATTACAGCCTCAAGTCTTCTTGAGTATGATGCTACGAGCTTGGCACACCTTTCTTTGGGCAGTTTCTCCCATTCTTTGTTGCAGATTGTCTCAAGCTCCATCAGGTTGGATGGGGAGCGTCGGTGCACAGCCATTTTCCGATTTCTCCAGAGACGTTCAATCGGGGTAAAGTCTGGGCTCTGGCTGGGCCACTCGAGGACATTCACAGACTTGTCCTGAAGCCACTCCTTTGTTATTGTGGCTGTGTGCTTTGGGTCGTTGTCCTGTTGAAAGGTGAACCTTTGCCCCAGTCTGAGGTCCAGAGCGCTCTGGAGCAGGTATACTTACAGTGGGGCAAAAAAGTATTTAGTCAGCCACCAATTGTGCAAGTTCTCCCACTTAAAAAGATGAGAGGCCTGTAATTTTCATCCTAGGTACACTTCAACTATGAGAGACAGAATGGGGGGAAAGAATCCAGGAAATCAGATTGTAGGATTTTTAATGAATTAATTGGTAAATTCCTCGGTAAAATAAGTATGTGGTCACCTACAAACAAACAAGATTTCTGGCTCTCACAGACCTGTAACTTCTTCTTTAAGAGCCTCCTCTGTCCTCCACTTGTTAACTGTATTAATGGCACTTGTTTGAACTCATCAGTATAAAAGACACCTGTCCACAACCTCAAACAGTCACACTCCAAACTCCACTATGGCCAAGACCAAAGAGCTGTCAAAGGACACCAGAAACAAAATTGTAGACCTGCACCAGGCTGGGAAGACTGAATCTGCAATAGGTAAGCAGCTTGGTGTGAAGAAATCAACTGTGGGAGCAATTATTAGAAAATGGAAGACATACAAGACCACTGATAATCTCCCTCGATCTGGGGCTCCACGCAAGATCTCACCCCGTGGGGTCAAAATGATCACAAGAACGGTGAGCAAAAATCCCAGAACCACACGGGGGGACCTAGTCAATGACCTGCAGAGAGCTGGGACCAAAGTAACAAAGGCTACCATCAGTAACACACTACGCCGCCAGGGACTCAAATCCTGCAGTGCCAGACGTGCCCCCTGCTTAAGCCAGTACATGTCCAGGCCCGTCTGAAGTTTGATAGAGCATTTAGATGATCCAGAAGAGGATTGGGAGAATGTCATATGGTCAGATGAAACCAAAATAGAACTTTTTGGTAAAAACTCAACTAGACATGTTTGGAAGAGAAAGAATGCTGAGTTGCATCCAAAGAACACCATACCTACTGTGAAACATGGGGGTGGAAACATCATGCTTTGGGGCTGTTTTTCTGCAAAGGGACCAGGACGACTGATCCGTGTAAAGGAAAGAATGAATGGGGCCATGTATCGTGAGATTTTGAGTGACAACCTCCTTCCATCAGCAAGGGCATTGAAGATGAAACGTGGCTGGGTCTTTCAGCATGGCAATGATCCCAAACACACTGCCCGGGCAACGAAGGAGCATTTCAAGGTCCTGGAGTGGCCTAGCCAGTCTCCAGATCTCAAGCCCATAGAAAATCTTTGGAGGGAGTTGAAAGTCTGTGTTGCCCAGCGACAGCCCCAAAACATCACTGCTCTAGAGGAGATCTGCATGGAGGAATGGGCCAAAATACCAGCAACAGTGTGTGAAAACCTTGTGAAGACTTACAGAAAACGTTTGACCTCTGTCATTGCCAACAAAGGGTATATAACAAAGTATTGAGATGAACTTTTGTTATTGACCAAATACTTATTTTCCACCATAATTTGCAAATAAATTCTTTAAAAATCAGACAATGTGATTTCCTGGATTATTTCCCCCCATTCTGTCTCTCATAGTTGAAGTGTACCTAGGATGACAATTACAGGCCTCTCTCATCTTTTTAAGTGGGAGAACTTGCACAATTGGTGGCTGACTAAATACTTTTTTGCCCCACTGTATGTACATGTGATATTTCATTTAATTATTTTTAACACGTTTGCAAACAATTATTTAACAACGTTTTCGCTTTGTCATTATGGGGTATTGTTTGTGGGATATTGAGAACAAAAAGGAATTTAATCCATTTAGAAATAAAGCTGTAACATAACAAAATGTGAAAAAAGTTCAGGGTGAGTGAACAAGTAAAGGAGTTTTTATGTAAAAATAATATCCTGTCTAAACATCAGTCAGGCTTCAGAAAGCAACATAGCATCATCACTGCCACAATGAAAGTGGTGAATGACATTACGAGTATTTTAGATAATAAGCAGAGTTGTGCAGCTCTATTTATTGACCTTTCCAAAGCGTTTGATACCGTCGGTCATCGCATCTTACTGCAGAGGCTACTCAGTATTGGCATATCCAGCCATGCAGTGGGGTGGTTTGTGAATTACCTCTCTGAAAGGTCCCAATGTGTTCACTTTGATGGGCTGTCTTCTGAGTGGTTAAACATTGCTAATGGTGTTCCTCAAGGTTCTGTTTTAGGTCCACTTTTATTCTCCATATATATCAACAGTTTAGGTGAAAATGTGGATGAAGCTACTTTATATTTCTATGCGGACGATACCGTTATGTACTGTGCAGGTCCCTCCATTAAGGAGGCGGTTGTTGAATTACAGGCTGTTTTTAACATTATTCAGACTCAGCTCGCTGAACTTAAGCTTATTTTAAATGTTGATAAAACCAAGGTAATGCTATTTTCAAAAGCTAAAAAGACACCAGAGCCTGTTTTGGATATTGTTACTATGCAAGGACAAGTACTAGAAGTGGTTGCCTGTTATAAATAGGTATCTGGCTTGATGATTGTCTTACTTTTAAACTTCATGTCAATAACCTGCTTAAAAAGCTGAGGCCCTAACGACTAGGTTTCTTTTTCAGAAACAAGTCCTGTTTCTCGCTTGAGGCCAAGAAAAGGCTAGTCACTGTGACCTTTTTACCTGTGCTGGACTATAGTGATTTGTTGTATATGAATGCACCTGCCCATTGCCTGAACAAGTTAGATGCCGCCTATCACAGCGCACTGAGATTTGTCACAAATTGTAAAGCACTTACTCATCACTGTACCCTGTATGCCAAGGCAGGTCTGCCATCACTTACTGTAAAGAGGCTCAGTCATTGGTACACGTTTATTTATAAAGCTTTGTTGGGTAAACTCCCGTATTATATCTGCTCTCTGATAACACAGAGAATTGCAAGCAGCTATTGTCTGAGATCGCATGATGTAGTATTGTTAGATGTGCCAAGAGCAAGGACTGTCTTAGGTAAGACAGCTTTTATGTGTGCAGCTCCACTTGCTTGGAACAATCTTCAGCAAGAATTGAAACTGAGCAATCTCATTCCTCTGCATGTTTTTAAAGCTAGGCTAAATGAAATGCTCGTTGATACTATGGGCACTTGTAAATGTATCCTGTCAACACATCCTCACTCCCAGGTCGGCTTATGTTGACGTTATGTCAAGTCCTGTGTCGGCTTTTTCCAACGCAAGGGGGGGCCTTAGCGTCCATTTTCAACGCAAGGGGGGGTCCCTTAGCGTCCATTTTCAGCTTTCCAGGATGTCCATATGCTTCTATGGACGCTCATGGAAGCACGGCATTCGTTTGTGTCGGCTGCCCTTAAAGGCAATGTGAGCGTCCATTCTCATTGGATAACGGAGAATTGTACACCCGGAAGTAAGTATTCCCCTTACTGTCGATTGAGTTTACAGTGATATCTGCACTACTCATCGACTAAAAAACACCAGATTATCCTTGTTAATTACACAACATTGATTGGTTTAAATTGTGTGCAATACTTTTGTATTTTTCCCCTTCGATTCGGAGAAACTAATATTTTTTCGGAGTAAAGGATGGCAGAAGACACTACACTACCCAGAATCCCCAGCTATCGTTTGGACTACACCATGTGCTCTGTTTGACAAACCCCGTGATAG